AAGAGTGTGTGGGAGGGGAAGAGCATAGGGAATTTGGGGGGGGAGGAATGGAGAGATAAGACACTTGTGGGACACAGATAAGATTTATTATCTGTTGATGAGGATGTGTATGGTGGTCTCAACTGGACTGGACTGAGTTTTATATCATGTTGGGTAAAATCACCTCACAATAAAAAAAAAAGGTGCTGGCTCAAGAAAGTTATTGATATGCTGCCCCAAATATTCTGGCTAGGTTTTCCTTACAGAGCTAATTTTACAGATGCCTCCAGAAGATTTAAATCAGAGAGGCAGCCAGAGGAGAACGCCTTATCAGTGCTGTCTTGGGTGCTTATAACCAAGTTCTTCAAAGTTCTTCACAGAAACTAGAGAATGGAGATCTGACATTCTCGCCCACAGGAATTCACATCTGTTCTCTTTTTTTAAGTTATTTTATTATTACTATTTAAAAAAAATTGATGAAAGAGTTTTTTGTTTGTTTGTTTGTTTTTTTAATTTGATGAGAGAGAAAGAGAAAGAAAGCAAGCCACCGGGCCAGGAGCTCAAACCATAGTCAGCCATGTGGGAGTCCAGTGCCCCAACAACCATGCTACTTGCTGGTCCCAATTCTTTATTTTCTTTTAATTTTATTTATTTTTTACTATAAGGGGGTGAAGGGAATCCATTACCTCATTAACATTAAATGTAATAAAAGCTTTAAAATGCTTATATTTTATGTAATTTCTAGAGAATACAATTATAATCTCCATTTACTCAAGACTCATATTTAAAAACATTTTTTTTAAATTTATTGACAGAGAGAGAGCAAGCATGTACCCCTCTAGGGTCCTCATGCCATGATCTACCTCATGCCTTTAGCCAGCCCCAGATCATAGGCAACTATCTGCATGATGTACTGGGGGAGGTCTCCGGACTTGAACCAGGAACCTTCCTGGGTGGTCTCTACTGCACCAGAAGTTCTGGTTTCTAGGAACTTGGACTCTAACATAAAGAACTGATACCTTCATTAAAAGCCAGGATCCTGCAACAGAGGACCCTGCAGGCACTTTCCTTTGACCAAGAAGATGATTTCCCTTATTAACATGAAAAGGATTTAACATTCTAAGAAATAAAAAACTGGGACCAGCAGTTAGCGTAATGGCTATGTCGCTGGACTCCGATGTAGTCGACCGCGGTTCGCGTCCCGGACCCGGTGGCTTAAAACTCATGCCGGGCATGTGTGCGTGTGTGTCCAAGATCCCAAGAGGATAATGAAGGAGAAGAGAATGCGGCGTGGCCATGCCCCCTGGGGGGTGATTTCTTGCTTTCTGTCTCTCTGTCTCTCTGTCTGTCTGGCAAGCGCACGCGCCCTATAGCAAAAAAACCTATCCAAAAAAAAAAAAAAAAAAAAAAAAAAACTGACAATGCTGGTCTTAGTTCAGGCTGCAACAGCAAAGTACTGCAGACTGAATGGCTTAAATAACAATTATTTCTCTCATTTCTGCAGGTTAGAAGTCAGATCCATGGTGCCAGCATGGTCAGATTCTGGCTAGGATCCTCTTCTGAGCAGCAGACTGCTGATTCTTGTGGTATCCGAGCATTGTGGAAAAAGAGAGTGAGCTCTCTAGACGGTTCTTATGAGGGCACTAATTTCATTCATGATGGTTCCACCCTCATGACCTAATTACCTCTCTGAATAACATCGCATTAGGATTATGGTTTCAACATAGGCCTTTTTCGGGGAACACATTCTCAGTCTACTGCAATGCCCATACAGTGACATGAAGACACATTTAGGCTTTTTATAAAATTTAAATAATTAGAATTTTATTTTATGATTTTCCCCCTAATTTGTTATAAGTCACATGCACTCACTGAAGAGAAAGAGAAAGCAAGCCACCAGATCCAGGGCTTGAGCCACGGTTGGCCATATGGAAGTCCAGTGCTTTAACCACCACGCCACTCGCTGGCCCCAAATTTAGGCTTTTTTTTTTTTTCTTTCTTTTTTTATTTGGAGAGGTTTTTGCTATAGGGCGCGTGCGCTCGCCAGACAGAGAGAGACAGAAAGCGAGAAATCACCCCCCAGGGGGGATGGCCACACCGCAATCCCTTCTCCTCCATTTTCCTCTCAGGATCCTGGGCACACACGCACACGGGCCCGGCATGAGTTTAAGCCACCGGGTCTGGGACTCGAACCACGGTCGATCACGTGGGAGTCCAGCGACATAGCCATTACGCTAACTGCTGGTCCCAAATTTAGGCATTTTTAAAAATACCTCATTGACTGCAAAATCTCATAGCAAAATGTATAGAGTTGAGGAAAAGTTCTCAGACAACCTCAAATCACATGCAATTTTGTAATCAGAGTTAACAAAATAATAATGGGTGTCTTGGAGATAACTTGGAAAGCCCAGAATAGCAGCACAACATGACTGGGGAATGCCTCAGGGGATAGCAAAATGCCACTGGAGAAAGGTTAGAGCAGTCAACCTGGAGGGAGGGTTCAGAGGTGTATTCTTACAACTGGGGAGTGTGATGTAAGGGTTTTATGTGTCAACGACTACCATGGATGCCCAGATTAAACACTC